ATTAACCTGCAGGGCTACTGGCCTTTTGCAAGAGGGTGGCATTAGAGTGGGTCAGCCTTCGCTAATTAGCACAGGCATGACGGGCTGAAAGCTCTCCCCACTCGACCTCCTAATGTTAAGGGCCCACTTAATTGATGACCCAGTGGACTATTCGGCTGGTCAGATCCCGGGACAGAAGCATACCGCACTAACCGAGGGTGCTTGCCAATGAGGGACCAGCAGCCTCTGTGACCTGTGCTAGGCCCAGGCTGTTGGTTACACCATGACCGACAAGAAGATAGGGAAGTAGTGGAATCACATGGTTGGAGCGGAGGTCACAGGTAGAAGGTGATTGGGGGTATGGGTAAGGGTGGTGCTTTTCACACCCCAACCCCTGCCCAGCATCCAGGTTCCCCGATTGCCCCTAGGTTGATACCCCATTTTTCTCACCTGCGAAGGCTGCTGTTACTCTTGCCAACTGGGAACAAAGTGTTTCGGGCCAACGGATGGTTAAAGCTCCAGAATGGTTATTAATTGAACACCCAACGGCCTTAATTAGTGGTGGGACGGGAAGGTTGGCCATGGGCTTTCCAGCCCAGATTTTAATCCCTGATGTGGCGGGAAGGAGATGAGTATCTCTCTGGTGCTAACCCACCCATTTATTTGCCCTTCCTGCTACCTACCCTGCAAACTTCAAGGGACTGGAAAATTTTTCCCTGCCATACGCTACCTCTGGTGTATGACACTTCTAAATTATATTAAATGTCAATGCACACATCTGGAGCAGTTCAGACCTGATCCTTCTGGCTCACAGGTAGTGACCCTGCTTGATGACTCCTACGATTTAGACTTTACTAATGAGGACTTCATTAGTTGGGCTAATGAGAACAGTATAATTCCATTTTCTTGTTATCACGGTTAAGTATACTCAGTTAGCAATAAAACTTCTAATGCAACAGGACATTAATTACTCAATTCTTTAAAAAAAATCAATACACACTTCCAAAATATTAGTTGTTGAATGTTTAAAAAGCATGCAAGCGGTTTCTTCCACTCAATGTTGTGATTATTTCGTCGAATGTCAGTGACTTGTGCCTGGAATGTTTGCTGGGTCTTGAGTACTGGGAACTTCCAGATTCTACCGAATCCATTCTGGGAGACTGGGGGGAAAATAAACATCACGGAAAGTATTGCTTTCCTTTCGGCTAATTCCAAGCTGGAAGATGTGGTTTGGGATTTTGCCTTGTCGCTAACATGGTGAGCAGACGAATTTGAGTGAGGCCTTGCACATCAAGGCTGGAGTGGATCAGAAAGCCTGGTCTCAACCGTCTTCAAGTATTAATGCGGTTATGATCTAATTATTGGTCGTTGGAACGGGGAGGGGGTTGGCTTTGGGGAAAGTTACAATGGCAGCAGTCTCAGCAAAAAGCACAAATTCACTGTGTGAAGGATGGGAATGGGTGTGATATTTTATCGTTGGAAATAAGCATTGAACTGGAATTGTTCTCTTTCGAACATAGAAGGTTGAAGAAAGGTATTCCGATGGGATTTTTACGGAGAAATGATTTCTACTGGCAGGTGGCTCAGTAACGACAGGGCACAAAATTTAAGATCGTTCATAAATGAAGCAGAGAGGAGTCGTAGAGTTGTATAGCATGAAAACAGACCGTTTGGTCTAACTCATCCATGCCGACTAGATATCCTGAACTGATTGAGCCCCATTAGCCAGCATTTGGCCCTTATCCCTCTAAACCCTTCCTGTTCATGTACCCATCCAGGTGTCTTTTAAATGTTGCAATTGTACCAGTCTCCACCACTTCATCTGGCAGCTCGTTCCATACATGCACCACCCTCTGCGTGAAAATGTTGCCCCTTAGGTCCCTTTTAAATCTTTTCCCTGTCACCTTAAATCTATGCCGTCTAGTTTTGGACTCCCCTATCCTGGGGAAAAGACCTTGTCTATTTACCCTATCCATGCCCCTCATGATTTTATAAACCTCTATAAGGTCACCCCGTCAGCCTTCGACGCTCCAGGGAAAGAAACCTCAGCCTATTCAACATCTCCCTGAAGCTCAAACCCTCCAACTCCAGCATCCTCCAATCGAGGGGATTTATTCTTAGGAGAGGAGAATACAATCTGCTATACACCATCTAAAAGAATGATGAAATCAAACTCAATTCTGCCAGGAAATTGGAATTCTACTGGCAACAGAAAGCATTGCAGCCCATGGGAAAGCGCAGGGTAGTGGGACTGGTTGGATTGCTCCTTCAGGAGCTGACACCAACAGGATGGGCTCAGTGTTATCCTGTTGCCTGGTATGATTCCATCATTTTACATGTATGGCTGTGAAAAGAAAAGAATATACCCGGTTTATATCCAGCTATCCCCCACATGAGTAAATGGAACTATCTCCCCTTGACAATCAGTGATATGTACCATCGCTGAATCATCAACAATCACTGGACAGCACGGTGGCTCAGTGGTTAGCACTGTTGCCTCACAGCACCAGGGACCCTGGTTCAATTCCAGTCAGGCAACTTTCTGTGTTGAGTTTCCCCGTTCTCCCGTGTCTGCCTGTGTTTCCTCTGAGTGCTCTGGTTTCCTCCCACAGTCCAAAGACGTGCAGGTTAGATGGGGTGTCTGTGCTAAATTGCCCATAGTGTCCAGGGATGTGCAGGCTAGCTAGATTAGCCTAGGGATATGCAGGGTTAAAGAGACAGGCGGTGGGGGCTGGATCTGGGTGAGATGCTCTTCAGAGGGTCAGTGTGGACCCGATGGACCAAATGGCCTGCTTCCACACTGTAGGGATTCTGTGATTCTAACGTACTGGGGGTTAGCATTGAACTGGACCAACCATATACATTGTGACGAGAACAACCAACCAGATAACCAACTAATCTCCTGACTGCCCTAAGCACCTACAAGATACAATTAGTTTGCTGCCTGGAAAAGTGTAGTTCCAATTACATCAAAGAAGCTCAATACCATCCAGTGCAAAGCAGCCCAATTCACCTCCTTAAACATCCACTTCCTCCACCATTGACACACAGTGGCAGCAGTGTTTTTTTTAATTCAATCACAGGATGAGGGCTAGTCAGCGTTCATTGCCCAGACAGCAATTATAAGTCAACCACATCGCTGTGGGTCTGGAGTCACATGTAGGCCAGACCAGGTAAGGATGGCAGTTTCCTTTCCTAAAGGGCATTAGTGAATCAAATGGTTTTTTCCGACAATCGGCAATGGATTCGTGGTCATCATTAACTCTTATTGAATTCAAATTCCACCATCTGCCGTGGCAGGGTTCGAACACAGTTCCACAGAACATTATCTGGGTCTCTGGATTAACAGTCCAGCGATAATACCACTGGGCCATTGCCTCCCCCTGTGTACCATCTGCATGAAACCATTGCAGCAACTTGCCTATGCTGCTTGGGAAGTACCTTTCAAACTCAGCATCTCTACCATGTAGAAGGTCAAGACCAACAGACACATGGGAGAATGTTTCCCTCCAAGGCACAAGTCATTCAGACTTGTATTTATATCACTGTTCCTTCAATGACACAGAAACAAAATCCAGGGACTCCCTTCCTAGAAGCAGACCAGATAGTCTCAACCCCAACTTCTCAAGGGCATTTAGAACTGGGCAATAAATGCTGCCCCTGGCAGAGACACTTACATCCAATGAACAAATAGAAAAGGGCGCTTGCTTCTTTCCTTTCAGTGTTACATTCTTCAGAGCTGAGGAAAAGCTCTTTACTGGAATCCCTTTGGCCTGGATTTCCATCCTGGACAGTGGGATTTTCATTACAGTGATTGAGGATGGAGGCAGCAGGCGGCATGGGAGAATCTACGGAGGCAGTCACTGACCCTGCCTCAGGAGAGAATGGCCACGGAACAGGCTCCCTCTGCGCTAGGGGACATTGTCACCGTGACAGAAATGCCGTCCTCATCTCTCTCACTCGCCCCACCAACTCCACAAACATCTCATGCATCCTAGCCTCCATGACTCCTCATTTGCCCCATTCCAGTCTATGTCCCTGCCCGCCTCCTATGGATCCTCATATCTCCCATGGCAGGCTGCTCCTCTCAGCCACCCTCACCCCCTTGACCCCTCATGCAAAAGATTCCCAAACACAGACTATGATTCACAACACCTCTGAGTTGACATGCACTACACCTCGTTAAAAAGTGCGCCTGACTGCAGGAGAACTGCAGAGGATGAGGATTATCTCCTCAATGGAGCCTGCCAGGCCAGGAGCACAGGTTGATGATCCCAATTGGCTCACACCCTGAAAATTGGAAACTCACCGAAATGGGATCGGGAATCCCTTAGTGAGACCAGGCTGCCATTTATCAAGGGTTCCTGAGTCATCACAACAAGGCAAAAATCCACCATTAATTCTGCTTCTCCCTCCATGGCTGAGTATTCCCAGCATTTTCTGTTGTTTTTACTGTCATTATGCTGTCACTTGCTTCACATAAACGCAATGATATTTAGTCGTGTAGTTACTTGCAGGCATGATGTTGAGAGATTATTCCTGAAGCGTAAGTGTATGAAAAGTGAAACGCAAGTTGAAGATAAATGCAGGATGGCAGGGTCACTTCTATGATCCATAGTCCTCCACACTGCAAGCAGTAACCTACATATTATCCATTTAATATTCTTGGTTTGGCAATTATGCATTGTGTACCTTAGGGCTTCGACAGTTGCAGGGTTTGGAGTTTTAGGACTTAATTTGCTAACTGTGACACAAGACCTGAAGTTCCGATGGATAATGTGAACAATTGTCAGGTTGCTTTTTAGAAGCCAACTTCTAAGTGCATGTGTAATAAGGCTGTACTTTGATTGAGTTCCCCTCACATGTTAAGCATATCCGTTCGTAACATTTTGACATCTGTTTCTTTGTGCTTCAGAACTTCACGGTTATTGCTCGAATCTTAACAAGGAGTGCACCCACGATGAGTTTTATTTTAAATTATGCTCTCAAATCTCTGATATGATTCCTTTCTCTGCACACAGTCCCCTGCAGACCAGTGCAAGAAGATTCATGCAGGCGATGAAGTGATTCAGGTCAACCATCAAACTGTGGTAAGTGGTTTAAACTTCAAAAAGGAACAGTGCTTTCATTGGTGGTTGAAGTTTCTTTTCCCTTGAATTTTCATGAGTTAATTTATGAGGAGAACAGTGGTTACTGTCCCTTTTATAATTTTGTTAACTCCCTTCCATAGCAATACCAGATTTAAGACTGAGATTTTGCACTGCATTAGGTATACCTTAAGAGCCCTCAGGATGGATCTCGTTACATAAGAATTGCCAGAAATAAAATATCTAGGGTTCATCTAATTTGCCTTCTACTGTCCTGATAGACACATTGTACAATCATAATGCAATTGTTGACTACACACAGCAATCATTCTCCAACAATTATCCCACAGCAGATCCAGAAATGTTGCAAGAGAAAACCCACCCGGAACTTTGGAAACTTTGGTCCAAAATCACTTTATTCCCCCCAAGAATGCCTCAATTACCACATGTTCTGTCTCAAATTATTCATATACTTGGATTTCCATGTCAGAGGCAGGAGTCAGCTGACAGGAATGATGGCACAGTTACAATCCTACCTGTGTCTCGAGACTTCTGACAAATGGGATCTTCCAAGCCTAGGGGCGGAAGGAAGCTGTTTCCAAAATGGGCAGGTTAAAAGACTTCTATGTATATGTACATGAAACTACTGACCACTTTACCCATCTCCTTTACTCGACCCCCATACCTTGCAAAGCCCCTCAGCCCTCCTACCACCTGTACTCATTATCTACTTTATGAGCAGAACTCAAAGGCCGTGATATAAAAATTGCAAGTTGTTGAATAGCCTGTAACATTCCAAAAACTAAACAAACTCTTAAAACCAGTTGTATAAACAATGCCAAGCACTTTTAAAACCACTGGACAGTTAGATTGTAGTTAAGTGAAAATTCGGCTCATCTCTCAAAATGATATTTTCTGGAAGAAAGCTATCTAATTTCCATTTGAATAAATCAAATGCGGCTGTTTCCACATTCTGTCGAGTAAACTTGTTCTGTAGATTGATCAGTTTTCTCATTGAAATATTGTCTACAGATAAATTTCGGAATTTGCTCCATTTCGTTTGCAGTCTGGTTGACCAGTGCGTGGCTTTTGTGCCCAATTCTAACAATCTTAAGCCAAGCTCAGAAGGATGCACTTAGGATCAGATGTTTTTAAACAACGAAGCTAGCAAATTATCCCAAGCTATATTGTGCGCAAACGTGAGAGAGGGGATGAATTTTGGACATTGATCATAAAAATATGTATAAGTTTCGCATGGAAACAACAGATCATTTCAGCTTTGTACGGTTTAGCAAGGAGGTACCTGGAACACACCTAGTGCATTCTGCTGTCTGAAACAGAGGTGGTTTGTGCTGATGCCTGCTTTCATTGAATAATGGGAGTCCATCATCCACACATCCAGTTTGTGTGACCGAAACAGACTGCTTTAGCCAAGCAACACAGCCACAGAAACGAGGTCTAGAGATCTGCTGTTGAGCAATAAATGGAACATCTTTTGCCATGAAGACACAGAGAACTGGTTTGATTTCCATGATCCAAGTTGAAACTCCAGTAGCATGTCCGGGGATCTCTTTAGTCGTACAAGCCTCACGTTAGACCCAAAAGTATGCTCATTTTACCTCAGTATAGCACAGTGAAATTTATCTGTAGACAATATTTCAGTGAGAAAACTGATCAATCTACAGAACAAGTTTACTCGACAGACTGTGGAAACTGCCAAATTTGATTTGTTCAAATGGAAGTTTTGAGAACTGCAATTTCTCTTAGCAAATTTCCATTACAACATAATAAGCAGTAGCTTGCTTTACTCTTGTTGGAGACTATAATGCTAATATAAAGACATATAACTACCTTAGTTTCACGGATATGTATAACAATGTAACACCTGTGTTGGCACCAATTCCTCTAACTAGTGTACAGTTTGTATGAGTAGTCTGTAATATTTGGTGTATTGACAGGCCTGTCTTTATTTCTACTGAGCACTTTGCATGTATTTGTCCTGTTAGATTAATGAGGTAATTCCATTGTCAAGTATTCCCAGTGGCCAATACCACTACTAGGGATTGCATATTGAATTTTAGTTCAGTAATAGAAATAAGAATCTAATGATGTCATGAAACTATTGCTGATTGTCAGGAAAACCCATCTGGTCACTAATGTCCTTTAAGGAAAGTAAAACTGTCATCTTTACCTGGTCTGGCCTACATGTGACTCCAGACCCACAACAAAATGGTTGGCCCTTAACTGCCCTTTGGGCAATTAGAGATGGGTGGTAAATGCTGGCCAAGTCAGTGATGCCCACATCCCATGAATGCATATTTTAAAAAAATGTACAGAAATAGCAGAGGTGTTGCAAGTTATTTTCAAGAACACATTCCTGCAGTAGTTCCATGCTGCAAACTGAGATCCTGGAGTTCACACTTCATCCCTATCCCTCTGTTAGTGTGTAACTATTTAACTATTTGTGGATGAGGGTATTGACCTGCTCGCTGTGCTGGCTTGTTCTCGTTCAGACGTTTTGTTACCATGCTGGGTGACATCATCAGTGGAGCCTCCGATGAAGCTTCATTGGAGGTTCTACTGATGATGTCACCCAGCATGGTGATGAAATGTCTGAAGTAAAACAAGCCAAGCTCACCAGGCAAGTCAACAACCTCATGTGTAACTATTGAATCACAATCCATTCGAAATTCCAAACTTCAACCCTCTTCACACTTCTCTGAAAGTTCTTCAAACTTGTTACGTTCGCTGAACCAAGAAAATGCGACTTTTCCTGAACTTGACTTCTGAAAGCTCCCCCTTGAAGTCAGCTATATCATTTAACTGCCTCCATTCATGGAATTGAGAGTTTGGGTTAAAATTTGTTCAATGATACCTGAGAGTTTCACGAGGCAAATGAGCCTCATCATTGCAGCTTCTTTTCATCAGATTCAGCTCCCTAGGTTCATGAATGCAGAAAGTGTTCTCCAAATTGTCTTGAAGGGCACTGTGCGCTCCTCTTCAAAAACATTTCATTGTTGAGATCTGAAATCCATCACCTATTGGATGTCTCTGTTAGGCTAGCAGGCCTGAAGGCACTGAGATGCTGAGCTAATGGCGTCTTAACTGTGAAACCTGCGAGGTTGTTTTAAAAACCTAACAAGTTTACCAATATCCTTCAGATAGAAAAAAAACCCTGATGTTCTTCTTGAAGCTGATCTATAAATAATCCTCCCCCACACTTACATAGCTCATTTTAACATCCTGTGCACTGCTGTGACAAATCATTCAGTTCAAGATTCACCAGTGGACTTTACCAGCTAAGTAAAGTCAGAAGTCACACGACACCAGGTTATAGTCCAACAGGTTTATTTGAAATCACAAGTTTTCGGGGCGCTGCTCCTTCATCACGTGAAGTGGCGCGACATGTAACCCCCCCCCAAACTGTTCTATGTTAAATCTTCCTTACTGTTTGGTTTTGACACTGTCAACTTGATAACTTGTTGTCTCTCTACCTTAATTAGCTTGTACAGTTTTAGATTACTTGTCACTTTGGTTCGACCGTCATCATGTGACCCTTATACCTATCACATTATTGCAGCCATTTGGTTTATCTCTAGCACCATGTTATTTTTGGTTGTTTGCAATTATGCCTTAATTAAACGGATTGCAGGTCATCCATTCAGCTGTTGACACTTTACTCACACTGTTTGATGCTTTTGATCACATGCAAAGACTTGTTATTCGCCTGTCGACACTCCACTCACACTATTTATACTTATCTTTTGACACTTTTAATTACCACTTCACTGACAAAGGAGCAGCCTATAATCTGGTGTCGTGTGACTTCTGACTTGGTCCAGCCCAGCCCAGTCCAACACCGACACCTCCACATCCAGGCAAGTTGATGTAGACAAAATCATAAGGAAGTATCTAAAACATCAGACCTCTGTACTGATCAGCTTCGGCCCTTGTCCGTCTTGAGGATATTTGAATGCTCCACAATTCTACCTATCTTTTTAGTCTACTTTTGCAACATTTTAGTAATTTCTATTTTAAAATATAGGCTACATTAAATAAAATTCCCCTGTTAATGTCTAAATGGAAAATATTTCCTTACACTTAAGGTCAGCTTAAAATCTGATATTAAGTAAAACCGTCTTACTGTTTGAAATGAATGTTGAGATTCTGATGGGTAGGATAGTTGTTGTAGACCAAGGGTATTTAGTCTAGTCTAATAAGTATTCATAGAATTACTATCCAACACTACTACATGCTTTCTAAGATACGCTAATAATATTCTGCTGTCTCTCGGATGAAACTGCTACAGCACAGCTCTCAGTTTCTTGGCTCATTTTAATTCCTGTCTTTTCACATTGACGACTGAATGTTAATTCATGATGGTTTTGTTTAATATTTCAGGTGCACTTACATTGTTCAATCCTGTGACACTGTATACATTGCAGTTTTTCACCTTTCTGCCTGAGTTTGACTGCATTCCCAAGTGGATAGGATCTTAGCTTCTTTATATGTTATATATTAAGACGGGTTTATTTGTGTAAAATCAATCTAATTCTCAGTGGATTTGACTTTGCAGACAAAGTCCACATTTGAGACGCTATTGCCAATTTTTTTTTCAATGTGACTGGTGCGTGAAATTAAACTGTCTCTTTGAGATACTCAGGGTTAAGCCTGTTGTGCAGTTCTTAAGAGCAAAATCCAGAAAACTCCAGGTATTTTCCCTGGAGCGTCAGAGGCTGAGGGGTGACCTTGTAAAGGTTTATAAGATCATGAGGGGCATGGATAGGGTGAAAAGACAAGGTCCTTTCCTCAGGGTAGGGGAGTCCAAAACTAGAGGGTATAGGTTTAAGGCGAGAGGGGAAAGATTCAAAAGGAACCTAAGGGGCAACTTTTTCACGCAGGGGGTGGTGCTTGTATGGAATGAGCTGCCAGAGTAAGTGGTGGAGCCTGGTACAATTACAAAATTTAAAAGGATGAGTAGATGAATAGGAAGGGTTCCTATT